TCGGAAAGGTTTACTTTTAACAATTAGGCGTGATCTAGTGGAGAGTGCTCGTCTAGGAGATACCCTAAACCCAAATCTTTTCCCATCAATTAAATTAACTAAGCTTGATTTGCGTTTTTTTAATAACTTCACTCGAAATTCATGTACTAAGCCAATCAATTTTTGTAGGGACGGGTCAAAACTTTGCCAAAATGTACTGCTACTTTCTGAATTTTATTTATTACTTCTTAAAATAAGTGTTTTCAATTCTACTCTTGGGAAATTTATTTTTCAATCATAGAAAGAATATTTTGATTTAGAAATTATTTGTAAAATAAAACCATTTTCTAGATAATATGGATATTTCCTTTTAAGGCCGGTATTCTAAATTACAGGACTATTTTCTCTCCAACACATCACTTTCCAAGAAAATAGAAAGACTATTAAAAATATAAAAGACTAGAAAAAAATACTTTTCTATTGCAAAGAATTATTTTTTTTTTGGAAATTTTTAGATATTTAAAAAAAACATTTGAAAAAGCTTTTCTGATATAAACAAGTTTTGTTTTCTTTTTGAATATTTAGAAATTATTTACAAATAAAATAAACAACATATTTTCTAGTTTTGGGTCAGTTTTCTAAACATTTTCAGAGCAGAAAAGAAGCCGATTTGGCACCACTGATTAACTTGCGCTCTCGACTGCGCCTTGGCAACACTTAAAGTCACTAAGTCGGGCACTGTGTGCGTTTGTGTGTGTGAGAGACAGAGAGAGTGGGAGAGGAAGAGGGAGAGGGAGTGTAGTAGAGGGGCACTGAGTAGGGTATTTCTGTGAGTTTTGTAACTGCTGGAAATTTGTACTTCCGCCCGAGGACGTTGGCCGAAGAAGATTTTAATTAAAATCAGCAGGAAATGTGACCCAAATAATACTTCCGTATAGTGTGAAAAATTGGACCGACTTGACGCCACGCCCCCTTTTGCTCATTTGCCCACTTGCTCAGTTGGTGCCTAATTGGAAGCGCAACGAGACAAGGCAGCAGCAGCAGCAGCAGCAACAGGATCTGCAGAGCTCCTGCATCGACAGCTTACAGAGTCAAGGGAATGTGGTGGGGGAAACGAAGGGCTTTAGTATTGGTATTAATCAATGTACATCAATCAAACTTGATTACAATTAAACTCTGCACTTGAATTGAGTTCATTTAAGTATTGCGAAGCACTTCAAATTGCAATAAAGGTTTTTAACAGGTTGTCGAACCGGTATCGAAATTGGAATTGAAACTGAATTGAAACTCAAAATCAGAATCGAAATCGAAATCAGAACATAAATTCAAAATACCGTAAAAGAGTGTGGATATATACCGAAATCGCAAAAATAAACTCTTTTGTTTTCAATTTGCTTTCGAATTTGAAACTGATTGAAAAAACATTCAAAAACTGACTGCAGCTTTCATCAATCTTTTCTCCTACTATCCCTAAACATTCTGCAAATCGCCATATATACTTTTGGCACCCGAATAACCTAACATATTGTTCAGAAAGTATATATCCAAAAAACTCAAATTTGTTTTAAGGATTTTTCTTTTCTTTATTCCTTTCTGAACTGTACGAATTCTGTTCTTGCATATCTACAAATGAATATATATTTATTTATATGTGTAAATATATATTTAGAAATTTCTGCAAAAACCATCTAGATTCCAGTTGGCCATATTTTTTCTGAGTGTACGGTGGCACTCTCATTCAGCTCAGTTGAGTTGAATTTGTCTTGGGTCAGGTCAGCTATTCTTGGCATTTGGGGCGGTATTCGAAGGGGGCAGGAACATTAAATCGATATGTTGTGTATTGGAGGGGGCGGGGCAGGGGGTGACTTGATGGACACACACTCGTTAAGTGACGGTTGATTTAAAGGCTCTGTTCGATTGTCTGTCTGTCGGTCCGTCTGTCGGTCCGTCTGTCTGTCTGTCCATCTGTCTGTCGTCCTTCTGCGGCGCAATGCAATCAACCGCAATTTGTTGTCAAGCAGCAATTAGCGACGCCAAGCAACCAAACTAACGCTTAAATGCCAAGCTGCCACTTTGCCACCTGCTTGCAATACGTCAGCTTCTCTTCTTCCTCTGCTGCTGCTGCTGCTGCTTCTTCTCCTTGCCAAGCGTGTGCCAAAAAAGGATTTTCCGCCAGCGAAAGAGAGGGGGCGGGGGGTACAAGCCACACTTGAGCATATTTGGTCAAGAATTATAACGCGTATAAATATTTAAGTTCAAATTAAATGAAAGCTCTTCAAAGTGGTATAATGAAATATATATGAGCAGCGAGAAGCATCTAAACGGAAATTATCAAGTGCATATATACTTCTGTATATGACATTATCCGACTGCAACAAAGGATAAGCGCCAAAGAGACCAATGTACCATTGTACAGCATTTGATACTAGCTTTATTTACGATTATAATATGTACTAAAATATATTTTGAAAGAACAATTTTCACGCTTTATATTTGACTTTTAATGTTCCTTGTCGATCCAGGATAGAAAATGTAATCTGTATAGAAAGAATTTCGGCCTAACTGGAATACTAATATTAACTTACCTACTAAGACATCCATCTTCCTACTCTTGCTGGTCGTAGAACGATGCTTGGCTTAAGCTTAGTACACTGATTCTTCCCAATTAAACAGTCAAGTTAGTTTTGCAGTTCCGATCAGGACGAAAGAGGAAGCTGCCAGAAAGAATCAGAATCAGAATCAGAATACGAATCCCAAAATCAAGGCGAGAGGCACAATCCAAAGACTCTATCAATATGCATATTGGAGTTATATTCTTGAACGCTTGTACTTGTACAATATGAACAGCTTTTTTCTCTAAGTGTAGGAATGCGGCAGCCTCTCAACCAACAAACAACCCTCATATCCCACTTTTTGCGCAAAATTTGCCCGCATAAAAAGCTGATGCTGATGCTGTCTCCACTGCTGCAGTCGTGACAAGTGCAGGCATTTAGAGGATTCCTCTAAAAATAAACACACACACACACACAAACACACACACACACACACACACACACACACACAAAAATGTTTTTGGCAATATTTCAAAAAATGATGTGAAGCTTGTTTTTATACAGTTTTTATACCCATTAACAATAGGGTAGAGAGGATATTCTATGATTGTGGGAATCTATCTTGGAAACGAAAGGAGCTTTCTTCAATCTTGAAAAGTTGTATATATATATATTATAATGTTGCCTAAAACAAAGTTACCAATAACAATATATAATATCAAGTTAAAATAAATAAATTAAATGATGATATTTCAAATAAAATGATTGAAAATGAATTCAAATCAAATCAAGTCTTTTTAATGCTTATTTTTAGAGTATAGAGAAATTAGCAACATCGTCCGTGTATTAGGGCTGGGTACTGGGTATCTGCTAGTCGGCCACTATTGACTCGAGCACTTTAAATTGCTTTTCTTTTCTTTATTACAATTGCGGGAATCCACATCTCTCATCCCATAAAGTACAACTCTTATTTTGAAGAACAAAACCCTATAAATAGTAAACTATTGAAATTAAATATAAAACAAATAATGTAGCATTGAATATATACATATATAATATATACAAAATGTATAAAATCATATTCATTTTAAACATTTAAAAAAAACTCTTAAATATAAAATTGTTACGTCTGAGGCGCTAGGAAATCGATAACAACGATAATTGCAATCGATAAAACCACACAAATATAGATCTATAGATCTATGGGTCTATTGGTTTATGGGTCTACTGGCAATGAATTTATTCGTTGTGAAAGAATCACTAATATTGTTGAGTAACATATACAATTGCTGTATATAGCTTGAGTCACTGAAGTGGAATCGATCTGGTTCATGTTCATTTTAATAATAAAATTTGCTGATTATCCTCTGAATATAGTTATACAATAATTATATATCAGCCCAATCCAAACCAGCCTGAGAACAGATTGTTGTTAAGCTCACATTGACCGATAAGTTGACCATTAAATCTTGACATACCTTTGGCTTTGATGATTGATTGATTACGATCCTCTATATAAAATTTGGAATATTTAGTTCGTCCAGAAACAGAGAACAAATATATAAATAAAAGAATAACTTAAATCATGATATCTGGTAATCCGGACCAACATCGGCGAGTTAACTTGCCATTAAAAAGGGTAAGTAATCTTTGGATACAAAGCCGATCATTCCTGTTTGAGCCATATCCACCAAATTGAAAGGTATCTGCCTACTGGTAACAACTTGACTGCCTTCACGAGAATTTTTTGGGTATAACAGAGTGTTCGAAACAGTCGGTTATGCTCTCTTTGAATGTAAATCAAAAAGTATTCTTTTTGCCAGTTGCCATTCATAAAAAAAGAGAATAATCCATACCAAATGCCAAAAATTTGAACAAAATTACGTCTATAAATATTATTTTTTATTTGAATTTGTTGTAATGCGTTTTTTTTGCGTTTTTTTGTTTTTTTGTTGTCTTTTTTCGATTTGTTTTCTAGGCAGAAGCAAATAATCAATGTGCACAACAAAAAGGTAGGTTTAAAAAAACACACACACCATTTACTCGTTAATATTTATATGCTGTATTCATATATATATAAATATATATATATATGTTTAACAATTACAATTACAAAATACGCGACAGGAAGAGGAGGAGTTGGGGAAACAACAGCAATAATTATAATTATAATAATCATAATAATAATAATAATAATAATAACTCATTGTTGCAAGAGGAGATACAATGCGCAATTTTTCAGCTAGATAAAGATCAAAAACTTGTTTTGTATAATTTATGCCTTGTGTTTAAACTTTAAATACATTTATATGTAGAGATGGTATGTATTTATGTATGTATGTATATATGTATGTGGTACGCTAAGTATGTATGATGTCTGATGCACATATGTGTGTGTATAGAGATATATATACCGGACTTAAACAACTAGAAAACATAATTATTATCAGCAGAACTTTTTTTTTCATAATCCTTATCGCATCATCATCATCATTATCGTTATCGTTATACATACACATAGCGCTCGAGCAGTTATCGAAATGGTTATCGATTTTGGCTGTGCAAGCATTTTGATGTTGTTGTTATTGTTGTTGTTGTTTTATAACTTAGTAATTTCATTAGGACACTTTTTGTTGGTGTTAAATCTTTAAGCATTCCCATCTCAATGCGTACTACTAAAGTAAGTACCTATTATATTTATATATTAGATATAGTAGATATATATATGTATATGTATATATATATATCTGTTTTTCTTTGTTGTTGTTGTTTGTTGTGTAGGTGCTTTCGCTTTCCTTTTTTACGCCAGAATGTTCACGAAGGCAACGTGCGCCATTTGAAGATTTGGTTAACTCTTCTTCCTCTTATCCAGATACACTTAGAAATCGTCTATAGGTATATATATATATATATATATTGTGTGTGTGTGTGTGAGTGTGTATTTAGATTATTACAGTGGCTAAATTGTAATAAGGACGACGGCATTTTAGGAATTGTGTGTTTTATGCACAAAGCAATTAGTTATTAGTTATGCTTTCAAGCCTTTTTCTATATATATATATAGATATATATATATATATATAAGTTAAGATTATTATCGATTTATCGCTTGACTGTGTGTGTGTGAGTGTGTGTGGATTCACTGTGCTTTTGCTTGCGTTTGGTTCATTGATTGATTGATTGATTGTTGGTTTGTTTGAATGTGTGGATGATTGATCGCATTCGATCCCCGTTTAGTATCTGCTATTGTTGAACTGTGAATTAACCGCCGAGCTAACAGCCGATGTGGCCGCCTCCTGCACATGCTGATTACGCAAAAATTCCGTGGTGAACTCCGCCTTGGCCTTATCCATGCTGGCCCCAGTGCTGCGATAGATGCTATGGATCTTCATTATCATCAGCACATTGGCGCCGGCGGTGGTCGCAAAACAGAACGCAACGATCAACAGCAACAGGCCAACAACGATGCCAGCGGCGGTGTTATCAAACTGAACGATCGCCGTTATAAAGCCACAATAGCCCAATTGCTGGAATCCGACGGCCTGGACAATCGTGTACACCGTTTGGAAGAAGTACACGAAAAAGAAGACCATAAAATTGAAACTCGAATCGTTGCGGAATGCCTTGTAAGCGGGCCGGAACCTAAACACATCAAACAGACAAAGACAGAGACAGTGAATGAGTAAGAGAGAGAGAGAGAGAGAGAGAGAGAGAGATAGTTGTTACTCACCAACAGACGTAGGAGGCGGGCGTGAAGAGGATCATATAGAAAATGGCTAGAAAAAAATTGGCCACGTGGCCCTCGTGAAACAGCAAAATCAAACACCCAATTATATTGGCGGCCAGCGTCAGAGTGTAAACTGCAATTACAAAGGACAGCGATCAAGATTAGCAAAACAGGATGTCAAATTAAATTCTACAGCTTTCTGTCTGTAACAGAGCAATAGCAATCTGCCTAGCTCCGTCAGAAGCAAGAGCAACAAGTTGCCTAATGTGCTCTCTTCTGCAGTTGTAGCAATAAGCAGAGCGAGAGCAGTGTGTGCAGCTTATGCCAACTGCTAAAGCAATCCCATATTTTACTCTGCGTAGCTGCTATTGCTACTGCTACTACTATTGCTACTACTATTGCTACTACTATTGCTACTACTATTGCTACTACTATTGCTATTGCTACTACTATTGCTATTGCTACTATTGCTACTAAAATTGGTACAAATATTGCTACTATTATTGCTACTACTATTGCTATTGCTACTCCAATTTCTACTACTATTGCTACTGCTATTCCTACTACTACTACTGCTACTACTACTGCTACTACTATTGCTACTACTATTGCTACTGCTATTGCTACATCTATTGCTACTACTATTGCTACTGCACTTGCAATTGCTTCTGCTCTGGCAAATAACGGAGTAGAGCAAAAAAGCATTGATTGATATCACTTTTCTGCTATTTGCTCTGTTCAAATTGGTGGCTGCAGCAATAGCAATACAATATTTCAATATTGCTCTTGCTGTTACAGAATATAAAATTCCAAGAAGAAAAACTAAACTCTCACACAAATATAAACTAAAAAATATGAGTAATCTTTTATCAAGTCTCAATTGTAAATTCACATTTCGATTGCTTGGCTAAGCTAAAGTTAAATCGTATGGTGGCTGCTCTATCTACAACTACCCACCCACACACACACACACACACACACTCACACACACACACACACTCACACACACACACTCACACACACACACTCACACACACCCACATAATCGAGTCATTATGACTAATACCAAATGTGCTGTTTGCTTATCAGCCTTTTGGGGCGTCTCAATATAACCATAATCATAATCATAATAATAATGTGTTTATATTGACACACACACACACACACACACACACACACGCACACACACACACACGCACACACACACACACCGGCAGGCAGGCGATAATACAAATTGAAAATGAATAGAAAAGAAAGAAAGAAAGCTGCTTACACATCCAGATGTAGTACAAGTGCTTGACAAGCTTTTGAAACTCGGGCGGAATCTCGACCTCGAAGTCCTGATAGAAGCACGACTTCACACAGAAGTTATCCGGCAGCGGTGGCCAGTTATTTAACTGGGGCACATTGCCACCCTGCAGCTGCTGCTCGCGTCTATCCAGTTCGGCGGCCTTGCGATCCAACTCCTCCTGGCGGCGCTGTAATATGACACAAAACCAAACAAAAACAGAAAAAAGACAATGATAAATCAATCACTCAACTATGACAAAGTTAGTAATATATATTTGTATCTATGGGAGTATCTATTTTGTAACTGCAACTGCAGCCGCAGCAGTGCAACCGCAACAATGCACAACATCAAGCAAGAATAGTCGAACAATAGCTACCCTAACTTCTCAACTGGTTGATCATCTTCAAATACAACTCAATTGTGATATAAACTATGAATAAGTAATTATCATAAAATCAATAAGTTAATAAGATTATCATTACTTATGAGTTGAATGAACTTAACATCCAAAAATAAATCATTGATTGCTTATATTAAGCTGTAGTTAACTTAAGATATACTTAATCGATATACACTCCGAAGCGAAGCGAATCGAATCGAATTTTGAATGTTGATTATTTGTTAACTGGAGCAGTTGCAATTTGAGTTCGATATCATTCATATAAGAATATATATATATATATATATATATATGTATCCAACTCAAAATACTATATGTGGCATGTATAGAAACAATGGGCTAAAACAGAACAGGCATTCAACATAATCAAATTAGTATATCAAGGGAAGGGAAGGATGGTTATAATTTTAAGTAGTCCTTCTTTGGTTTGCATTTTCGTTGATGTTGATTGTTGGGTGTTGTTACCTGAAGCTCCTCCGAGGTGATTTGTATGCTGGTGCTGGGCCCCTCAGCGAATAGTGCACCCCTCTGTGGCTGTGGTGTGGCAACGTTCTGTGATAGGGGCTGGACGACGGCAGCGGTGTTCGTTGAGTTAATTTGCAGTTGGGGCTTTGACTGCTCCTCGAATGGATTGTAGTCCTCCAACGAGACATTTGTCGACATTCGTGTCGCCTGCTGTATGGCGGGATCCTGAACACCAAGCGACAAGCGACAGGCGACAAACGACACAAATGAAAAACAATACAGAAAAAAATAAAGGGAAAATGTTGTAAAGCACACGTTAATCAAATCGTAGGCGGCACACATACACAAACACACAACACACACACACAGAGACACACGCACACATATGTGCATACGTGATGTCGTCGTTGCACCTACGCACACACACTCACACAAATGCATATATATATATGACTGGTAGTGTGTGTGTGTGTGTGTGTGCGTGTGTGTGGGGTTTTCATCAGCAGCAGCAGAAATTTTTTGTTGTCAGCCTTACCGCAAATGGATTATCCAGATTGGGCTCGCCAAATGGATTTTCATCGAAACCGTTGCTGGACATTTTATATTATTGTTGTTGTTGTCGCTGTTGTTGTTGCTGTTGCTGCTGTTGTTGTTGCGCTTTTGTGCGAAAAAATTTGCACTTCTTTTATCTGCTTGTGGCTCTTTTTTTCTCGCTTTTGCTTTTGAGTGACGATTTTTTTGGAATTCAATGTGACCAGTTGCGCGACTTACGGTGTGACCGCATTCGCCAACTGTTGAAATGTAAATGCAGTATTCTTTCATTAAAATAAAATACCAAATGCCAATTGTTTATATCGATATGGTATCGATACGTATGTGCAAAGTTGTGCAAAAGCACTCGGCTAAAATTTGTTATCGATACCGGCGCAATTGAAAATCGAAATTCAAATACATATTTGTATAACGTAAGAAACTTTTATTAATTTAAAAATACAGCTTAACACATGCACACGCACTTTTCAGTTTTATATATATATGCATATATATATATATATACTTGGAAGACAAAATGACGCTTAATGCGCATTTGTAAAGTTATACGCATTACGTATTCATATACATATACAAAAAAATTATACTTAGATAGATACATACATTATTATTATAAGATTCATTAAAATTATAATATTATAAGCTACATGTGTACGTTACATGCTACAATAAATTATATCTTTATTGTTCTGTCTGCTGTAAGTACATACATATATATTTATTTTTTTAAACATTTTTCGTTTTTTTTTGTTTGTTTTTGTTTTTCCTCTTAATTTTTGCAACATTTGCGCACCAAATAATTCTTAGACGCATTTTGACTCAACACCCACGATTTCTATACATCAAAATATGTATGTGTATAGGATGCTACAAACTAAATTCTTTTAAAAAAAAATTGATATATATATATATATATAAATATACATATGTATATATATATATAAATATTTGTCTGTTTTTGTATGTATATTATATTATGTGTGTATGCATGTATGTTTTCATGTTTAGCAAAATTGCAAACAACTTTTCGCCATTTGCAGTTAAGGTTTAGACAGGTTGAGAAACTGGGAGACTTTCGACCCAACCCGATATTTTTCGAAAATAGCTCTTTACACATTTTGTGATCTCATCAAACGATTTCAAAATGCTATTTGTTCATTATTTGTTCTTCGCCTTCTTTGCTCATTCATTCGTTGTTGATGTTGTTGTTGTTGTTGCTGTTGTTGTTGCTGTTGTTGTTGCATATTCGTTGTTATTAATAATTATAGGGTCCGTATTGCGAGCCATGATAGTAGGGACCCGGATAGATCTGCGGCTGTGCGTAGTTGGCATAGGGCGGATACGGTGGCTGCTTCTGCGAGTACACTGTAAATCGATGAAGAAATAGGTGTATTAGTGCATGCATTGAATGTAACTTGGTAACAATTCAAGCATTCATACCGGGCATCAGATATTGCAGATTGAGTTGCTCCTCCTTTTCGCGCTCGTTGCGCAGACAGACGGCGGCGCCGGACAATAGAATGGCAGCCAGGAGGCAGGTGCCGATGCCTGTCCAGGCCACAATATACGACCAATCATACACAATCTTTGTATTATCTCGCAGCACCTGTGTGTGTGTGTGTGTGTGTGTGTGTGAGAGAGAGAGAGGGAGATTAGTTAGAAATGTTATTGAAGAGTTTAAGCCACTATTGGAGTCACTCTCATTTGGAGTCACGCACCGTATTCCATTGCTGGAAGTAATCCTCGCCGACAACTTTCTCCTTCTCGAAGAACTCAACGGTATGCCAGAGTCCCATGGCGCCGGCGGCAAGCAGACAGGTCACTAGCAGCAGTATCGATGTGGCAGTTATGGCGCCCGACGATCGCTTCCAGCAGCCAGATAGACCCGTCCAGAACGCGCAGAAGATTGTCACAAAGCTGATGATGAACAGCGCAATGCAGGAGCGTGCCAAATGCAGGCGCGATGTGGCATCCTCATTCGATATCTTGTCGTCATCCACCTGGGGGAAGTAGTCAATGTTCGAGCAGTGTGTCTCAATCGGTGACAAATACGTCGGCACTAGAACGCAAACCAAAAAATAAGCATAGTTCATAGTTTGGGCAGAGGCGGGAGGGGACTTACCTGCTGTTACCGGCGGTCGCTCCTTGGGATAGCATATCCTGAACAGTCCACGGGTTCTCGTATAATAATAATACTTGGCATTCAAATTATGCAGCAGCGACTCCGCATCCGAGTGCTTGGCGGCAAAGGCCTACAATGATGGAGAATACAGGGATTAGCAGGAGTTCATTTAAAAACCAATACTTTAAAATTAACTAATTAACTCACAATTAATATTAAAAAACAAATTCCATAAAGGATCAATACACGTTTCAAAATTAAATCAGATGTTCATTTAAATAATATAATATAATCAAGTTAAATACGAGTATAAAACAAATCTATGAAAAATCAATACTTGTTTAAGATTCAAATTTAAAATATGGTTTTATGGGTATTACTATATTATTATACTTGATGAAGTGTACCAATAAATATATATATATATATGTATATAATTCAGTAATACAAATTTCTGAAATGTCCCTTGAATTATTGAATAACTTTTCATCTAATATATGTTTAGCATTTTATTATATTCAACTCAGTTTATTTTTCAATCAAACACATAAATAGCAGTCTAAGTGACACTTTAGGCACGTTGTTGGTCTTACTCAACTCTCTAGGATCGAAATCTATTAGCACTTACAAAATAAAAAACAGAAGAAAAAACACCATTCTTATTAAATTTTATTCAAAATATGTTTTTTTTTTTTTAAATTATACATTGTAAGAAATTGTGAACTTTGAGCAAACTATTTTGATATTTTTGAAACCATCAGCAGCATTTATTCAGTTTCGTTTTTTTTTGTCGATTTTTAGGTGTTTTTCGCAGTGCATTTTGTTTGTTGCTTTACGCAACGTTTTTATTGACAACGGTCGACCTTCAATTGTAAGACTTGAAATTGCTCAATCCGCAATGTATCTGAAGCTCTCATGTAATGACGTATGCCAATTGCGAACTGCGAACGGCGAACGGCGAACGAGGGAACGTGATCAACGGCAACACTTAATCTGATAAGTACACTATATATATACATATATCTTAAATGTATACAACACAAGCAGACAGCCAGACAGACACCTACGATAATGGCACATGACGCCCATTGTCAGATCTATATTTATGTGCATCCGCGTCTCATTGAGATTCAGATACATATACAACAATAGTAAAACGAAAGATGACCGGATGGTGATCGAGAAGCAACAAACAACAACAACTGGAATAATTGTGATTGAACTACACTTAGACAAAAATTCAAAAGCGAACCAGCGCATTTGTTCCAAAAGGAAAGGCGTCTTTTCCATCATTTTCTATTTGATATTTGCAATTATTTTTTAAGTTTCTAAAAAATTTTGTTACTTGTCAAGAATATATATATACTCTATGGAATTCAGAGTTGCTTCCTTCTGCCTGGTACATACTCATATTCATGCTGAATAAAATTGTTGGCGATTTTATGTAAATTTAAGGGCGTTTCTTTTTTCTCTAAGTGTAGTTGAAATCATAGGCCGAATCATTTTTGTTAAAAGACGCCCACATGAAAAACTTGTTCTCAGTATTGGTTTGTTGTCGTTAAGGTTTTTGTTTGTTGTTGCTTGAGCCAATATACATATATTGATATATATATATATATATATATATATATATATATACATATATAATCCATAATCTGTCGAGAAGGTTATGTTTTGGCTTAATTCAATCAATTGTTATTAAATTTGTGAAGCACTATGGGATTTATAAGCATTTTAAATGCTACAAAAATAAGAACAACTCTATAAAGAGACATCAATTGATGCTGATCAAGAATATATATATATAAATAATTTGATGTTTCGAACGGGATTAGAAATTAATCAACAACAATCAACCTTCGACTTGGACGCTTTTCACGCCGCTCTTTACTCCTCTATTCGACTTGCCCATTTGGGCGTAACTGAGCAATTAGCTCGGCTAGTTATACCCTGTACCAATTAAAAATGTCCAAGTTGATGTCTGTCCTGTTTGGTACTGTATAATAACTCAGAGACTATAAGAGCTACAAAAAAAACACATAAAATCGTCAAATCAAATTTGTTTCATTTGATCGATAACTGCATGCGATGTGTGAATATCGATACAAATCGATATACTCTATTGTCTTGAGCAGCTGGGCTTCAAGGGTATCTTCGCAACGAGCTCTCTCGAGTCGAGCATTCTAACTTGTTATAGTTATAGCCATGGCTATGACCAATTGATGCTCTCATTTATAACAGGAGCTCTCTGCGGCCTGGTGCACACGACTGATTTCTCGAGCCGCTTTATAGCTGAATGGTTTCTCAAGCCAACGGACAACATACAACGGGCAACACACAACGAACAACAAACAACAAACAAAGAAAACACCGCCCCACCTTAGCAAAAGCAGCAAACTTAGAGCCCTTAATTGCCCCCGAAACACCCAAGACACTTTCATAAGAAAGTTACAAAATTAATCCGTTAGGCGGAGAAAGAGACAGGTACACAGAAAGCGAGAGAGAGAGAGAGTTGGGCTAGGGTGGGGTGGGGTTGCGGCTGGGGCAGTGTGTAATGCGCTAATACATTAAACCTAACCAAAAAAAAAAGAAAGAAAAATAAACCCAAATAACGAGGAGGTCCGAGCGCAAGCCAAGCGAAAACCAACCTATTTCATAAGCGATATCACTGGGGGCGGACTGATGGAGGGGAAGGTGTGGTAGAGAGAGATAGATAGAAAGAGAAAGAGAGAGGGAGAGAGAGAGAGATCGGAGGTAAGGGCCAATAACTTCCCACTTCCCAGTTTACATTTGTTGATGCCCTAACCAAAAGCAAAGAGTTTTGTGGTATTGCGTAAGCAATGAAAATAACAACAACAACAACAACACACACATGGACACACATACATTTAACACAAACATCCCGAAATTTACATAATAAGTCCAGTTCTGCAGTTTCAATATGCGCCAAAAGAGAGATACACTCTTTCCCTTCCCTCACCTCGCTAACCACCCTCCAATCCCTACAGACCACCTCTTAGCCCAAGCTCAACGTTTATCGACTTCTCCTCGTCTTTTTCTTGTTCACTTTGTTAGCTTTTTGAGTTTTCTTTTGGGCTATCACATTGTTATTTAAGTACCGGACATCGAGTTAAACACGTTTCGTGTTTTTTTTTGTATTTTTTTTTTTATTTTTTTTGGTGACTGACAGCAAAAAAAGCTTTTCTCTTTTTACAGCGAGTACCCATTAAAAATGCTTAAAAAGGGGGTATGATGATGAAACTGTGCAACAAAGACAGAGAATGTTGTCTTCACTTCATTGATAACTTGGCCACAGGGTAGCATCGAGTCGTGCAAGCTATCTCTCTCTCCCTATCATTCCCTGTCCATCGACTAGAGCTGCTGGGAAAGAGGCAACTTCACCTCTGAATTGTGGTCATATTTTTTTTTAGCTGATTAACAATTTCCCCATAAAGAAATAGAATTTCACGGGGCGAACGTGTGAAACGTGAGGCCATTTCAAAATTTCGGATACAAAACAGACTACGTGTTCCCAAATGCCCAGCTCGAGATTAGCATGAGAGAGCTAATATTGACAATGTATAGAGACAGAGATAGAAAGACAGACACATATAGATAGAAAGAGATATATATAGAGATAAATATAAATATAGATACTGAGATAGATGTAGATATAGTTAGAGATATACAAATCGATGTAGATATAGATATATAGAAAAATATATAAAGAGATACATAGAAAGACAGATAAACCGATCTTTTGTCATCAACAAAACCTGAGCAAAGCATAAACTTGATAACTTTTGGTACGAGTGTATTTTACTATCCTTCTAGAGGGTATTTTAAATTAGTACTGATCGATCAGCAGAACACTAATCGAGTCGTTATAGTCGTATCCGCCTGTCTGTCTGTCTGATTTTCGTAGACTTCCTCATATTGTTCTTGGTATTTGGTAGGTTGGTAGGTAAAACCCTAACCAGCTCGACTACCGTTTTTTCCAGTTTCTCCAGAGTCTAGACTCTAGAGCGTAGTCTGGCGCCATATGCAGCTGCGACTGTTTGTCCACAGATATGTATTAATAAGGCGCAACTATTTTTATGACAGAGACCACAAACGGGTTTCGCTCGAGCATGTGCTGTGACCCCCCCCAACCAATCCACCTACCAACCACCGAGTACATCTACCTACCCCACTAAACATCAACTACATAAGTACACACATATATATATATATATATATATCCAACTCAAGAACTGGCTAAAAAAAACTACATCGATGCAGGATGCCAGCGAGCTTAAAGTTGTACAACTTTACAGACCCAAGGCCGCCGTCGTGTTTTCAACGCTTTTATAAATATATATATATATATATTACATATACAGACGTTATATATATATATATATATCTGCAATATCTGTATCTGTAACATTAATCAACGTAAACTAAACTCAACTGTAAATCAAAAATGCAAAACAAGAAAATAGGATAAATAAAACAAAGAAGCGGAATAACGCAACGAGAAGCTGTCAAAAAATGCAGGTGATGGAAACATACACACGTGTGTGTGTGTGTGTGTGTGTGCGTACATACGAATATGTGTATATGTATACATATGTACACATCTGTGTATATATACATTTGTACATTTGTCAATGTGTATTTTGTTAGGTGCGGCAAATTTAGAAATCTTAAAAAAATAACAAAACTGGAATGCTGTAATCGAAAGTGCTCGACTTGGGGATACCCTGTAAACAGCTACGTAAGTCGAGCGCCTCCTTGGCTGGAACAGCCAAGAGTGCATTTAGTGAAGAGAGCTGGACAAGGAGAATCTCTGAACTTATGTGTGTTGATCAATTTGAAGTGAATATCTTTATAATTGTGGCTTTTATTGCTATTAGTAATCGAGTTGTTATCGATCATTTATCGAAACAACTAAATACAATTGAATTGCGCATGACATACGATAACAAATATGCCAAATTTGAGGTCACTAGTCACCTAGTTTAGCTAGATCGATTCGACTCTATGTTGCTGATCAAGAATATATATATATATATTTGCTTCATTCTGTCCGTTACAAAATTTGGCTCAATGGCAATATACCCCGACATCTTTTAAGCTATAGCATAA